AGATCAAAGAGACAAACGGTAAGACCGTCAAGGTTTTCTGACTATGAGCTATATTCAGATGCAGAGATAAATGAAGAAGGAGATGTGCTACATATAGCACTTATGGCTGGAGCAGAGCCCGTGGAGGTGGATGAAGCTTTAAAGCAACCTGTGTGGAAGGAAGCAATGATTGATGAGCTTCGATCAATCGAGAAGAACAAAACATGGCAACTTGTAGATTTGCCACCTGGAAAGCGGTGTATCGGTGTGAAGTGGGTCTTCAAACGGAAACTAAACCCAGACGGCACTGTGTCAAAGCATAAAGCAAGATTAGTAGCCAGAGGGTTTCTGCAGAAACAAGGTGTGGATTTTACTGAAGTCTTTGCTCCTGTAGCCAGATTGGAAACCATTCGCTTGGTTGTTGCAATTGCATGTGAAAGAAATTGGCAGCTGTTTCAATTGGATGTTAAGTCAGCATTATTGCATGGAGCATTGGAGGAAGAAGTGTTTGTTCATCAACCTCCCGGATTCAGTGAAAAGGGTAAAGAGCACATGGTGTATAGGCTGCACAAAGCTCTATATGGTCTAAGACAGGCACCCAGGGCCTGGAATAAAAGAATTGATTCGTATCTGCTTGATCTCGGCTTCAACAAGTGTATCGTTGAACATGGAGTATATGTTAAAGCCTCGGGAGGAGAATTGGTAATCATCTGTTTGTATGTAGATGATCTTTTGATAACAGGTTCAAACATAGTAGATATTGAAGATTTTAAGAAGAAGATGCAGACTGAGTTTGAGATGACAGATATCGGCAAACTCAGTTATTTTCTTGGAATGGAATTCGTGCATACCGAAGCTGGAATGATTATGCATCAGCGTAAGTATGTAAAAGATCTGCTTGAGAGATTTAAAATGAATCAGTGCAACGCTGTGAAAAGTCCATTGGAGGTAAATGTCAAGTTGATGAATGATGATGCAGAGGAAACAGTAAATGAAACGGTGTATAAACGAATGATTGGATCACTGAGATTTTTGTGCAATAGAAGACCTGATCTGGCATTCTGTGTTGGTATAACGAGCAAATTCATGAATCAGCCCAGGAGAAGTCATTTGCTTGCTGTGAAACGCATAATCAGGTACATAAAGGGCACTTTGAATACTGGAATCTTATTTCCTTATGGAAGAAAGAAACGTGAGCTGGAGTTGATAGGTTTTTGTGACTCGGATTATGGAGGAGATTTGGTAGAAAGGAAGAGCACTTCAGGATACATCTTCTTCCTGAACGATGCACCTATCTCGTGGTGTTCAAAGAAGCAGTCCATAGTTGCACTGTCCAGTTGCGAGGCTGAATATATAGCAGGATGTTATGGAGCTTGCCAAGGTATTTGGCTTAAAGAAATACTGTCAGAACTGAAGGTTACGAGGGAGAATGCTGTGAAATTAATGATGGACAATACCTCTGCCATCAATCTGGCAAATAATCCTGTAAAGCATGGGAGAAGCAAACATATAGAAGTGAAGTACCACTTCTTGCGGGACATGGTGAATAAAGAGAGAATTGAGCTTTCACATTGCAAAACTGAGGAGCAGTTGGCAGACGTGTTTACTAAAGCGTTGACTGGTGAAAGATTTGATTTTTTGAAAAGAAGAATTGGTGTTGTTTCTCTGAATGCAGTTTGAATTAAGGAAGAGTATTGTGGTGTAATTCAAACAATATAAGTTCGTTTTTTCTGTTACTTTCTGTTACTGTATTATCAGTAACTGAACCCTGTATATAAGCTTTACTTTTAAACTTTGCAATATATCATATCCCATTAATTCATTCATATCTCTGCTGCTGTTTTTTGCTCTCTTTCTGTAACCCGCTTCTCTGTTTCAATACTAATTATACTAATTAAATCTTAAGACAACTAATCTCTTATTACCGACTGCCATAATGCATAATCTGTCAATAAGTCTTATTTTTTTATGGATTACCAATAACATATAATATCAATCTATACTGTAAAACGGTAACATTTTTCTTACATTCAATTCATCAACATCATATGAATCTTTTCATTTAGTAGAATTGACCACAAAAACATCATTTCATAAGTTTTTATTTTTAAACTTTCTATATTAACTAAAAATAAAATTAATTTATAATATATAAATGAATATAAATCAAAAATTAAATTAAATTTAAAACTCACTTCTTAACAATATAAAAAATAAATTATTGAAAATTTAATTTTAAACGGTATTTATTTTGAACTGGTAACTATTTATTTTGTTTTATGAAATGTAAAGAAGATAATCAGAAGGCTTTTTAAGAAGGGCAAGGGCATGGAAGGTTCGGAGTTTTACTTTTGTGACAGAATATTTTTCTTTAAAAAAGGGGCACTGTGACCTTTTTTATCAGCCAATAAAATGATTTATATAAATATAAGAACGAGAATAAGAGTACAAGGAATCCATCTTAACAAAAGCTGTGTTTTTGCAATCATATACCCACAAAACTTCTAACTAAGGAAAGTAATATTTTCATAAACATAATTTTTTCATATTTATTTGACACTATTTTTTTTACTTTCTTTTTTTAAAATGCTACAAAAATTTACTTTTCCAAACAATTTATCTTTATTAAATGTGTTAAATGAATGTGAATTGTGTTATGCTATCTTTACTCAACTATATATCCTCTGCTTCTGTCCCAAATCATCAAAGTTCTTTTTTTTTATCTTTTTAGGAAATTATTTCATCAATCAGAACAATAATCGAGAATTGTTTATGTTGTATGCAATTTGAATGCAAGAACATTAGAGATGAAATTACCATAATGAAATAGCATAAAGCTCTGTTTCATGAGCATCATTGTTAAGTTTCTTTAGGATATAATCATCATACTTAATTAGATTTCACCCTATGAATTTATTTTAACTTTTATTAATAATCATTTTAAAAAATAAACTTTGAACAAACTGTATAAAAATTAAATTTACAATTGTCTTAAACATTCGGGAGACTCAACTGATCCTATTGTTGTATACCCAAGTAGAACATGGTTTTATGTGAATGATACATATAATCTTAAATAACATTATAATTGATGATAATTGATTAGTCAAGTTTATTTATTTATTTGAAGATCTATTTTCACTACAATATATCTCATTATATTGTTATTTATAAATTAATGAAGAATATCATGCTTTTGCATGTAAGATAAGACTGACCGAGACATGTAATATATTTAAATTTAAACTTATACGTACCCAACAACCCATTTACTAACAATTTTTTAGTGTTTCTTTTCTTCAATGTCCCTTGTCTTGCATATCATTTCTCCTTTAAGAATTTTTTTGATGTTACAAAATTAGTGATTTTTGAAATTATTAGATTATTGAGTTGCTTAAATTATTAAAAAAAATATAAGTGATATAGATGACTGACGAGATTGAGATGAGTTAACATATTTTTTATTGAGTGATTCTTCCTACACCTCACTACCTTCATCTTGCACCTCTAATTTTTCTTTTTTACCCTTCATTTAATAAAAAGTCAAAACTTAATTAATCTAATGTTTCCTAACCGCACTTCGAAGTGCGTTTCCTAATGGTCGCACTTCGAAGTGCGTTTTATATGTTTCTGTTGCACTTTGAAGTGCGTTTCTTATATGTGCACGTTTTTCTTTTTTATGCTACGAATTTCAAATAAAAAATATATTACAAAAATAATAATATGTTCAAAAATAAAAAATTCAACAAAATTTAACAAACAAATAAAATAATTCAAAATATATTAACAGAAAACATTTTATTTAAATACTAACATAAAAAATTAAATTTAATATACTAAGCTAATAAAAATAAAACCTAATAAAATAAATATACTAACCTAATAATAAGAATTAAAAAACCTTTCAAAAATCTAACGTAATTTGAAATCCGGCAACAACTAACGCACTTCCGTGTGCGGTTAGTGTGATCGCTTTCCGCAGATCGAAATGCGGTTTCTCTCCACCGCACTTCCAACTGCGGAAGTCTGTGACGAACGGCGTTTAAGCAGCGTGCGACGACGAACACGAACTGAATACCCCAACCAAGCACATGCATGTATGACAGGAAACAAAGTAGATGCACGAAGGGTACTAACCTGGACGGACGAACGTTGGCATAAGAGGGAGGGCGGTGGTAGAGGATACGGGGGAGAGAAGAATGGCAGAGGAGGAGGGAGACAAAAAGAGGGAGGAGTGATTTTGAAAGGGGGTGCAGAGTTAGAGTTAGAGTTTGAGTTTGAGATGCGGCTTAGCTTCAGTCAACTTTCTAAAAATCCAAAATATTCTCTGAGAAGGGTATACTTGAAATTAAAATGTATTTTGAAGATACAGGACGAAGGCTGTGAGGTGGAGGGAGAATCAGTCTTTCTTATTCCAAGTATTTTTCATTTCGAAATTCTAAGTTTTCATTTAAAATTTTAAACTTTTATCACGGTATTGAACTTAAAATAATATTTCAAAAATTTGAAGGAGTATAGTATATTATATTGCGTTAACTCAATTTTTAAATGATTGAAATATATATTATTTTTTACATTTATTTAATACCATCCTTTTTATTTTTTTAAAAAAATTTTAAAAGATAATTTTTTTTATAACTATTTTATTTTTTTTAATGTGTGAAATGAATGTGAAGTTATTAATTTAGACAACATGGTAATAGCATTTGCAAGAAAAAGGGTATTGTTTTGTGGTGTTATGGGGACCACGACCTTTCTTTCCTCTGTTTGAATCTGATTAAACGTCTCTGTATATAAACTATGTGACTCTCCCTCTGTCAATGAAACGACTCAAACGTACCATACAAGTTCTTCACAGCGCATAGCAGAGAGCACTGTTTTTTTTTCTTCTTTTCTTATCATTATTTCAAGGTAAAGAAGGAAGGAAGGAATCCATTTTTTATTTTTAACAAAGAAAGTTCCTTGCATCTTCTTTTGTTTCAGAGCTGCTGGCTTCCCTTTGTTTTCAATATCAATCAATCTGTTGTACTAATATAAAAAGTTCTGTACAAACCGTGTTAGCAAATACACAGACTGGAATAAGAAAGGAAAGAGTCTGTGATAAGATAATTAAAGTGAAAGAAAAAAAAAGACATTGTATGGAGTTGTAACGGTGTGTGGTATATATTTGTGTGTATGTGTGTAATGTATGGTTTCCAGTTTGAGTCTCACGATCTCATCAAACACCTTCTTTTTGAACAAGCTTTGATCTTTTGTTTGAACAGAGAGAAATGGGAGTTGGAGGCACACTGGAGTACTTGTCTGATCTAATGGGTAGTGGGTACCAGCAGAGGAAGAAAAAGAAGAAGCAGTTTCAGACGGTGGAGTTGAAGGTGAGGATGGATTGTGATGGGTGTGAGCTTAAGGTCAAGAACGCCCTCTCTTCGCTCAGCGGTGAGTTACGTAAATTCTTGTCATCATTTTATATTGAGCAGTGTTAGTTATTGAAGATGAAATGGTTACTGCAGGAGTGAAATCTGTAGAGATAAACCGTAAACAGCAGAAAGTGACGGTAAGTGGGTATGTTGAAGCAAACAAGGTGTTGAAGAAGGCGAAGTCAACAGGGAAAAAGGCTGAGATTTGGCCGTATGTGCCATACAACTTGGTGGCACATCCATATGCAGTTGCAGCTTATGATAAGAAGGCTCCTCCTGGTTATGTGAGGAGAGTGGAGGTTCCTGCTAACACTGGAACAATCACAAGATATGAAGACCCTTACGTCACCATGTTCAGTGATGAAAACCCAAATGCCTGCTCTATCGTGTAGACAGAACATATGTCTGTCTTTTCGCACAGCATTGTAAATTTTCAAATTTTAATGCAGTGTTTTTGTCTTTTGCGTTTTTTTTTTAATCTGGTTCGTTTTCAAGTTCTTGCTTTCCTGGATGTTGACTTCTTTTTTGGTTATTGCATAAAAAGATGAGAACAACGTTGCTGTGATCATGGTGCATAACAAACAATGTCTGCTTGTAATTTGAGTTTGATGTTTTTCTTATTGCTTGCACGGATAAAAACACAAAGCAGTGATATAAATTATTAAGTTGCTCATTACGGAAGAATACTAATTCTTATCTGTCAATCTATCTATTCTCTTTCTGTATATATTTTGAAATAGTTTTGATGCAATTGTCTAAATGTACCAGAGATATATTTTTAATCCTTAATGGTACTTATTGGTAGTTTAGTTTTGATTGTTTCTAAAGAGAGGAAATTTTTCTTTTCACTTTTGATTTATAATTTCACAGGTTTTCTTTCAATTGTATCTACACAATTATTTTTTCTCAAAAATTTTATTAACCTTAATTTCTAAATTGAGGAATTATTTTCATTGATTAAGCTTTTCAGTCTCATATTTTAAGGTTACTGTTTTAAACAAGGTTATGCATTTCCACTATGGATAATATCATATATATTGGAACAACAATAATAGACCTTGGACTAGAATAACGGATAAGTTTCTAGAAAAAAAGATAAATCACAAATGTGATTTATATTAAGTAATAAGAATAGTTTTTTCTGGGAAAGATTAAACTAGTTACAATAACATACCATATTAAGATTTTTCATTAAACAAGATGTGAAATGTTTGTTACGTTTTCAAAATATTTGATTAAGATTTCTTCTTAAGTTACTATTAAGGGTTGAATTTCAGATAATATTGAGATGAGAATTTTACGCAACCTCATAATTATAACTCTAATTAACACGAGAAAGGAATAAATTATATGAAAGCAGTAATATAGTTATGATCGGTTAAAAATTTAAGTGTGAATCTAAGTTTCACGTAAGAAAATGAAACACTATATAAGGATGAAAATCCATTAATATATTGTCTTAAGATTTTGGATAGAGATTGACGTCAATCCCTTCTATAATCTCAGAGAAAATATTTATAAAGATAGCTCAAACCATTAGTGATGTTAGAAAGGGGAAATTCAAGCTTGAAGTTCAAGATGAGGTGCTTACTACATATAATGGTGTATTCTAGTGTCAATTACATGTGTATTCTTCCTTGGATAGAGTTTTATCCACTTCTTTTCAAGAACTCAAAAGGAGGAGGAGAAAGATGTAGAAAAATTTGCAAGCTTGGAAGTGTTGAAGAAGATTCCACATAATATGAGAAAAGAACTACAGAAGAATTTATATGAAGAGAAACCTAGGTTAGAAGTTAATATACTTCCATCTCACATTAAATGTCTTTCTGCAAGAAAATCATGAGAAGCTGATATAAATTTTACTTAAAGAAGGAAACTTATTATTTTGAAGTTATATAAATGGAAGCTCTAGGATGACATATTCTCCAATGGCTATTCATAGCTAAAATCTCTAATAATTGAAGATTAAACTAATTCGATCTACTATAAAGTAATTTCATTTTTTTGTTATTCAATTATAGATTACTATTATTTTTCTACTCTTTTATGCTTAATGTTTGTTTTTAGATTACATGATTTTTATTTCTCAATGTAATTGGAAAACTACACTGAACTGTGATATGGATAAAATAATTAAGATTTTATATGCTTAGGGATAGAGTGAGAAAGGACAGGCATAGTTAGAATCCTTTTTCTTAAAACTAGTAACTTAATTACACCAATTTATGGGATTTATAATGAAATAAAAATATTCTAGCACTTGAGATATTAAGGTTAGAAAAATTGTGTGGGTTGGTGATAATTAGATCTTGGATGAGAAATACGTTAATTACATTTTAAGAAGCCTAACTGACTTTAAATCCAAAGATTTCACACATCCAAATTAAACTCATTTTATGGCACAAAATTCTAAAATTCAAATATCTTATTATTTTTCATTTATTTTATATGCTATGGTCTATATGTTTATTTTATCGTTCAAATTGTCATATTATAAGAATCTATACTTTATTGCCCAAGGACAAGCATATGTGGAAAAAACTTTTATTTATCACTTTATTACTTATAAGATTTTGTATTTTTGTCAATATTCTTAACCAAGGAAAGAAGAATATCGTTGAAAGGAGTCCAAATTGCCTTCAATTAGAGGCATTGATTATTTTTCCTGTTCTATATACATTCACGATGGCATTGCATTTTGGCTTTGCCGACCCCGAACGTTGCTAGCTGCCGAGTTACGGAACACTAGGCCCCTCTTATCACCAAAAGGGAAAATTTGACAGTCTGCATTGGAGCTATTTTTGAAAAAGCATACAAAATTTAAACCAATTCCAATACGCTTGGTTCCCAGAAGAAGGTGAAGAAAACAGGAACATAATGTTCAAGGAAGGCATATCCCTTTTCTCTCAATCAACGTGAGGCAGGAATCAGCTTTACTTTTTCTGCTTTGGCCTTTTCTATTTCCCTCTCCCTTTACCTGATCCTCACAAAGTGTAAAGGCATATGCAACCTCGGGATAATATAGAGGATTCAACATAATTATGCAGATTACTATTCTCGTTATTATTATGATAACCACACCTAACGTCGTCACGTTGTAAGAAAATATTCAATGGTGCAAAAAACGTATACTGACATAAAAGCTAGTCAGATGTTAGCTAGTATGCCTGGGCTAATTTGCCTCACAAGTCGAACCAGACACAGAAGCACAACTTGCATTTGAGAGAATTAAAATTTAGGATATCTTTAGTTAGATTAATAACCCCAAATGGATGATTAATCAAATCAGCATAGAAATCATATTTGAACCTTTTTAATTACTAATCCTGTTTAACTTTCAAATTACGGCTCTCCCTTTGCATTTCACTGCTTAAGCAAATATAGTCATGCCTATTTCAAATTGGAAGATCACAAGGGTAAAGCGTGCCATGTATTAGAAGTAACATTTATCATATGAAGAATTAATAAATTTTTACCATTCAGAGAGCAGTATTGAAAATTACATTTAAACTAAAGATACACAAGTTACTCGCGTGTCCTGTGCAGAGATACACGTGAATTATCTAATACGTATCCCAGGAAGAACTGGTCATCATACTCAAAAGGGATATCCAGGTCAATTATGTACCACTCCACTAAACAGGAACAATAATTTATGGTAGCTGGAATCAGGAAGGAGATTCTGCCAAACAAGTTGATCCACATTCTCCTCTATTTCATTGCTCCAAAAACAATAAGAAATTAGAATTGTACCTATTTTAGATAAACTAGCCCAGAGAAGAAAAGAAAGCATACCAGTAAATATCACCATTATCTCTTTAGCAATAATAGCTTTAAGTAGAGGTTTTCACGTTATACTACAGGAAGATATATTAAATTCATTTACCGCAGGTCTGCTTCTACCTGCCATTTAAACAACATAATAAAATTCACAAAGAACTCTGTTTCACACAAGAATCGAAATTTGAACACAACAATAGTGTTTGGCTACCATTTCAACTATATGTTTTAAGAACATAAAAATTCTGAGTTGTGGAAACTCACCCAATCCATGTGTGGTTCATATGCATATATGTATCTGATCAGTTTCGAGTTCGTTCACTTTGATCTGTTCCCCGAATAAAGCTCAACAAAATTAACATCATACAGAAGAGTGGCATTGGCGGGTATGTTGCAGTCACCTATTTATTGAATCAGTGACAAACTTGTCAAAATCAAACAAAACGAATCAAGTCATATTCTGATAATAAATAGTACACTTAATATCTACAGCCTTTTCTAGAACAAAAGTAATGAACTAAAAAAACGCATGTTCCATGTAATAGTTCAAGAAATCCTAAACAAGTAGACAAGAATTGTACTAAATGATCTTTTACACACACACATATGCATAAAAGTTTCCCTGTTCTGTAGTGTTATTCTACTACTTTATTGGTGTTGCAGGTACAGTTAAATTTTCTATATGCGATGAAACGTAACCTGAGAAGCACCCCGCAGGTTCAGGGCCATATGCTAACTGTGGAGGAATCTGCAGTTTGCGTTTCCCACCTGGGTTAAAATGGTAAATTAGCAAGTCTGTAAAGAGACAAGCAAGTGACACGTGTCATGATCTAATAATTAAATCAATACCTATCCGCATTGGAGGTACTCCTTCACCCCCTAAAATTCCCTGATCCAGTCCCTTGATTACCTGGACACAATACACTCTCATATGTCACAACATAGCAAAAACTGTTACTAAAAATACTTTAGGATAAAAAATAAACTCTGTACCTTGCCAACACCAATGCGCATGGTGAGAGATCTACCACGTTTGTAGCTGCTATCAAACACTATTCCATCGGCAAATCTCGCAGTATAGTGAACCTGTGTTGCGCATACTATTAATATTCATAATCAGAACAAGAACCTATAACTAACTAACAAACTAAAATGTTTGCCGACGTGCAGAAATTGAGTGAGTAACTAACATTGATAAGCTCACCGAGTGGAGCTTCTACACCGAAGCCCTCAACAATATCACAGTAACCGAGGCCAGACTTCACATACTTGTACTCACACAAAGGCTCTCCAACGGTAGCGTAGTATTCGATTCTTGTGGCGTCCGCGTCCAATGCCGTTAAACCCATCACCCACGCTGTTACCAACCCAATACCCATTCCAACCAATGGATTTTTCTTACTGTGAACTGCACATGGCAACTTAGTAGGCGCTTCGCAATTCTTACCATTTGGTTTCCAAAAACACGAAGGAGAGCAATAAGGAACGCGAACACCGGAACACAGTGAGAGTGCCATTTTCCTTTCTGTTCCACGTTATCTATATCTTTACTCAATTCTTTCTATGCCTCACTCCCGATATTAACGGTTAGCTTTTCCATTCCTATATTCTTCATTTTGTTTTTTTAGCAAAAAACTTAAATATCTTCCGTCTAAAGATTTTATAAAAGAAAAAAATAAACTCTACATTTATTTTGGGCTACAAAATGGCAAATATTGGGCCTTCAATACTTAATTGGGCCAGATCAAGAAAACCAAGGTCTGAACACAAATAATCAGAAAAATAAAATAAAGAAACTCAAAAACCCTCTCACCTCAAACGGCCACGTAAGCGTAACTAACAAGTACGTTTCCCAATATTCCCTAACTAACTTCTCAAAGCCGTTCACTCGCGCGCGCTCATATAAACATCTCACTGGCTTCATTTCCCGCTTGCACTTACTCCCAACTCCAATCTTTGCTTCTTGAATACTCTGTCCGCTATGGAAAATTCCTTCTCCCTGCGATTCGCTCTTCTATGCGCCGCGTCTTTCCTTGCCATACTCTACGGCACCAAGGTCACGGCCACAACCGCCACCCCTGCCTCCACCGCCACCAACCAAGGTTTCGAAGCTCCCTTCCCGCCATCCAATCCTCCACCAACTCCGCACAATATCCAAGAACACTCGTTCTTTTCTCACACCGCGCTCCTCCCTCCGATCTTATCTCACCTCGGCTTCCACGAGCTGGCAACGGCAGCACCCTCACTGTCCGACGCAGCAACCACCGCTTCCTCAGCCTGGAACGGTCCTTCCACAATCTTCGCTCCCTCCGATGCTTCTCTCCGCACCTGCGTTTCTTGCTCCGTCCCGAACCTCCTCCGCGAGCACATCGTTCCCGGCCTCTTCACCATCGATTATCTCCGGAAACTTGCTTTCGGCACCAAGATTGAGACCTTGAGTGCAGGACGTTGCATCACTGTTACCTCCGAGACGCATCATCGGAACACCAACACCAATACCAACACCAACAACACCATGGCCGCCGCAAAGGTCTTCCTCTCATGTTAACTTATAGATTAATTTTCAGCCGGAATCTATTTTTATTTTTTGTTCAGTTTAATCACTATGTATTTGTTTCCTCTTTCGCGAAGGTTTTTCTCGGCGGTGGGGAGATCACGCAACCTGATCTCTTCAACAACGGCATGGTAGTTGTTCACGGCCTTCAAGGTTTCGTCTCCCCTCTATCCCCGTTCTCTTGCGAGGTGGAGAGGATGACGTCGCTCTCATTTCCGTTCCATCCGGATCACCGTTCCGGTCACGGTCAGCATCATCTCCACTCTAACAACGCGGCCGCGCAACCTTCTATGATGCGCTTGATGCTCCGAGACGCGATGCTCAGACTCCGCAACAACGGCTTCAGCATCCTCGCCTTGGCGATGAAGGTTAAGTACGCGGAGCTCGTGACGCTTAACAACATGACTGTGTTCGCCGTTGACGACATCTCCATCTTCTCCGGTTCGCACGCTTACATCAGTAACGTCAGGTTCCACATCGTGCCGAACCATTACCTGTCGATTGCGGATCTCGAGAAGCTTCCAGTCGGAACTGCTCTGCCAACGCTGGAACGAGGTCAGCCGCTCATCATCACGACCTCCGGCGGAGGAGAGATGTCGGCACCAATGAGGATTAACTACGTGAGGCTTAAGGTTGCGGATTTGATCCGCAACGTGAAGATCGTGGTGCACAGTGTGTATTTACCGTTTCCCCATATCAATCCTGTGGCTGCTGTTTATGATACTATCGTAGGCGGTGAAGGAGCCTCAGAAGGAGAGAGTGATGTTTCAGATTCTGCAGAACAGATGCCACATGGAACTTGTTCTGCTCTTGATGGACGTGGAAGTTGCGTCACTGGTGTGCCTCCATTGCCTCACGTCAAGGCAATGGTGGAGATTGAAGACCACCATGGCCTGTGAATAATTCCATCCTCAGATTCACGATGAGTGATCTCTGAGTGCAGTTTGTAGTTAGTTCACTCTGTTATCGCTCTCATTAGCTTGTGTTATCTTCCTTTGGTTTGAGCATAACCTGTGTATAGTCATATATAGTCAGTCAATTTGTTGATTTTGTTCTTCAATAAAACCTTCACAAACGTTTAAGTCTGTTGCATGCATACTTGGGAAATTTTAGTTTATAATTCAAATATTAATATTTTGATCAGATTTTTTTATTTTTACATTTTAACCCAAAATATATATCTATATTGGGAAATAATAATGGAAGATGAAATAATAGATTTTCCATACCATAGTAGGTGTTTTGGAGGTTAACCTTCAACCTAAGTTCAAGATGAAATTCCACTGAATATAATATATCTTTCTATCGTTCTTTTGTGATCATCTAATACTTGATTTTAGATGTGTCTTATTCAACGTATGAATGGGTAATATATCCTATATATGAAGAGGTTTTGACAATATATAGTAATCGTTTTTTAGGTCAATTAGTGTCGAGTCATTTCCCTGCAGGAAGATTAAACTGAGGTCAAAAGCCTACGAGTTAAGATCAAAAGATTGATTAATAAAAAACCATAGGGAGATGAAAGAAGCATAACTAAGTCGTGACGATGCACATTCTCAACCTAAAGCCAAGTCTCAATAATACCAAACCAATCTTCAACCCGATTTTAAAAGACCACAAATACTAGATTGATAAGAAGTAGTCATTAAGCCTCAAATGTCTTCTCGGCTTACAAGTTTGCAATCACATCGAGTAAACTTCCACTATGGCCCATAAGACGAAGAATCTCATTGTCCCGTCATAGATGACATTATCCTTCTACGATGGAAACCTCTAAACATTTTATTTACTCTTTCATAAGTAAAGGCCCACAACTAAATAAACAAATATTACTTCTGCCACATAAGCAAAGTCAAGTGCTAGTCAAATAACAAGGTTCCTAGACGAAATGTAATGAACCTCTACACCAAAAGTGTTGCAATACTTTGGTAGTTATTTCTTACTACACTAAAAAAAGAGTTACACACATTACTTTTCACCATTTGGGAAATAGACAGGCTAAAAGGTTCAATTTTCTAATCATTGTTCACTAATTAATAAATAGAGACCAAACCTTTAAGTATAAGGATTGCCCACCAATTTTATAAATTCTTTAGGAAACATGTTCTTTATCAACATGGCTTAGAACGTGTGATTATAAAGGTAGACCATTTATTAACAAATAAATTAATACATTTCTTCAGTAGTTTGGAATCAAATTTCGAATCTCTAAATCCTTTATTTTTCAAGCCATTCATTGGGTCACCTCAATAAATCCAATACTTCATAGTGGCCCCACAGCATTTAACAACCTGACATAAAAACAAGTTGTAAACCCTTAATAATATACTTAATTTATTTATTATAATGTTAATTTTAATCATTAGTTAGCTTATATTAAAAACATCAACTATTCTTTAGCTTTTAATTTATTTAATCTTTATTTTGATCTTTGATAATTAACATTATTATTGTTTTTATTTTGTTTTATCTTTTATTAGTATTTTTATAATTATTTTTTAAAATAATTGAGGTTTTCATTTAAAAAATTGGAAAATAAAAATATTTGATACTTATTTTGTGAAAATATTACACATAAAACTCGCCTAAATCTTATATATAAATAGGGAGGCTTGAGAGAGTTAAAAAAACATATGTTTAGGGTATAGGAATCTAGCTAACTTTAAGAGATATATGACAAAAGCTCGTTTTTGAGACTAGAGATATTGTTCATTGTTTAGAAAATGTATAGGAGTAATTATAACTCCCTTGTTCACAAAGGTTGGATCTAATGTATCTTAATTCTTTGTGATTTTTACTATTTAATATATTTCTTTTCTACCATTTTTGTGTTCTATTCTTGTTTTTAATTACATGATTATTGTTTGCATATTTGGTAGTATCGAGTGATTGAAAAATAGTTTGGGAAATCTGGTTCGGATAAGACAACTAATAGATTTCACATGCTAGACATACATGTGAAAACAATTAGTCATTCATCACATCAAAATGTTGAACTTAATGTAAACTTATAGTAAAAATTGCTAAGACATAGGACCTTTATTATTAAAGTTTAGACTTATCACTAAGACATTAGAACTTGTTACATATGATGTGAATGCTCGAGAAAGAATTAGAAGTATATTGTTTGGTGTTGTTGCATGGAATTAGATCATCAAATCCAACTTTAGTAAAGTCTTTACCATATATTTCATTAAATCAATTTAATTTCTTTCTTCAATTTTAGAATTATTTTATAATTAAAATCAATGCGAGAGCATTTTTGTTTCTTCACGCACTTTCTTCCTAAGCCTCCCCCAACAATTGCGACGACTTGTGCGATCACCTCCAGAGGTAAGTTTTCTTTCATTTAACACAAATGCATGTTATTTAACTGCCTTGGGATTATTTTATTTTATTTTCACCGATTGTTTTTGTTTAGTGACTATGTTTTGAACCAAGTAGCATACGAGTTTTCCTTTCTCCATCATCGGTGATAACTCTTCCGTATTGGCGACAATAACTCCTCCACACCCTCTAACTTCGTTCAAGATTTATTATATACATTAATTAATGAATATTTCGTATACGTGGTGTTAGCAAGTTTTGATATGACTTGATTTGCATGTGATTTTGGTTATGTTTTCCATTATTTTATTTATCTTGACAATTATTTTAATGATTTAAAGAGTGGAGAAGTTTTTTTCAATGCTTTTTTTTCTTGGTTTTATTAACATGTTTATTTTATTTGAATTTGTCGAATATTTTTATTATCAATTTTAGTTTTATGTAGACATAAGTTTTATTTGTCTTGAATTTTATAATTAGTATTCAATAATTTAATGCATTAAATGTTTATCACTCTTAAACTACGACTTGATTAACATATTTTCTTTATTAGGAATGTTACTATCAATTTAAAGTGTAACACTATACCTGATTTTTTTAGTTAATTTTTATGTTATTTGTATGGATATAAAAGTGTGTGTGTGTGTGTATATATATATATATATAAAAGTAAACTATCAATATCATTATACTCTTATCTATGATCTATGATCTTATAGGTTTTTATAATTTTGATTATTTTTATCTTCATCTTCCATCCTTTTGGATATTTTTTTTTTATTTTTTGAATTTTAGTGACTTATAATATGTATTTATCCTAATATTTGAATATTTGCTCATTAGTCATTCTTCTTAAGTATAGACTTTTCTCCCGTGGTCTTTAGATACAGTATTAAAGACAATGTATTTTGTAGATCATTTTATCAAAGTTATATAAAAGATTTTTCTTAATAAGAAGTGTTTTCTATATGATAAACGAAAATTTAAAGTAAACTATAATATAACTTTTATATGTCATTTATTAAAGAAAATATTTTAGTTAAATTTTCACAAAATAAAAAAATAAAAAAAATAGATAATTTACTTTAAAGACTAAATATAATATTTTAAAAATAGTTTGAAAAAAAAAACTTATTTAAGTGCTCATTACTGTAAGCACAATATTGATTTGGACTAGGGCCTTCTGTCGTGTATCAACTAGAGTCTGTTGCTTCCTCCACTTCCATAATTTATTTCCACAGTCCTCATATTTGCCCATCCCATACTCAGAACCAGATCTTCCGTTTTGCAATGTGAATTAAAAAGGTTTAAAATTTTATTTATATTTATTTTTAATAAATATAGTATTATTGTTAAAATAGGTTGTAAAATGAAAGTAAAAAAAATAAAGTGAATGTCAACTAATAACAATGTCAAACACTACAAAAATATTAATTTTATGAGGGCTTTTTTGGAGACGGATTTGAAAACTCCAAAAATTTTTGGGGGTTTATCTCTAAAAACCGCAGGTTATTATTTTTTATTATTTTTTTAAACTTTTTTATTTTTAGAATACTTACCCAACCCATATTATTCCCTCCCCGCGCTTTCAGTCGTTTATTCATCTCATCTCTAATTCTCTGAAATCTAAACCCTAACCTTCCTCCCGTTCTCATCAAATTTTCTCTCAAACCCTTTTCCGCACTACAATCTTCTCCTTGGCTTTGTGTTCATCTTCTCCTGTTTGGCTTCGTGTTCATCTGGTTGAGCGTCGAGGTGGAACCAACTAACTATTAAATAATATTGTAGGTATCTGATCAAGGAAGTGTACCAAACAATGAATATAATGAAGATGAAGAAAATTAGACATGTATGAACAATTAGTTATGCCTGGCTTGATATGGTATGATGTTTTGAGGACGCAAATATCACTTGCCATCCTTTTAGTTGTGTATGTATTGATATGCTAGTATCTTTTGTGCTTTCATAAAGCTGCCAAACAAGGGAAGGATCATCCTCATCAGTCCCTGGGCTAGTCTTCATGTATATTTCATCTTTTGAATCACTTTCCTTGTTAGTCTCTCTTAAATATAGTTTTGGTTTTATTATGGCTATTTCTAAATATTAATATGGTTGTTTCTAATGAATGAGTTTCATCTGTTTTTGGATATTTTATATTTTTAACATTTTATATCTGTTTTATTTATATTTATACTTGAGGAATTAACTCACCTCTTCCAAACTGTTTGAATGAAGTTGAATCAGTATGTATCAGAATCAGAAGATTAGCAACAGTAGGAGTGGAGAAAATATCAGGATAGAGTGACCCTAGTAATGAATGCAGTGATGTGTTAAGTTGGTTATCAAAAACATGTAGTAATGAGTCTCCATTCTCATTCTTGTCTTTTTCTTACTTCTCCAGCTGCAAGTTTTTAATCAGAAGTATTTAAAATCAGTCTTTTAGTTTTTTTTGTAACTAAAGTTTATTCAAACATTACATTGAAACTGTTGGTAGCAATGGTTAGTGGGGTATGGTACTTTCATAAATATGTCTATGGCCTGAAAATTTATAGTAATTTCGGTGGGTTCTATCAACTACGTGAATCCCATTAACTAATATCAACATATCATTTATTTGATGAATCTCTCGTACTAGCAAGAGTCTTTTAAAACCAAACATGAAATGTACTTAAACACACAATTATGAGATGGTTTGGGGAAGAAATTGTATTATAAAGCAGAAGGGTTGTTTTTGTACTTTGAAGCTTAGTG